TTCCGCGATCAACAGCACCATGGCTTGTGTCGAGTTCGGAAGTGCGGATATCATTCCTTCTCACCCTATTATGTGTCAGCTAGCTTTTTAATGATTCATTGGTGGTCTGCCATAGCCTCTGTTAGTAAGAAAACTATGAACGAAAGTTGATTATTTAATAACTTGCTGTGGATTAAGATTTTTTATAGGACAGTTGTGAGTTTTTGATATCTCTCTCGTAGTGTGGGTATATTTAATGTATGAAGCAGAAGATGTACAGGTCGTGTTTGTAGAAGACAATTTCATTCTTGTTCTGAGGTTTGACTGGAGCTCATGTCTTTCAGTAGCGAACTTTACGAAATCCACCATAGTGAATAATTTTAAGATCAGTTCCAGAGAAACAATACTGTGATTGCGGTTGTTGCTAACCCCTGATGGAAAAACCTTATCATGAAAGTCTTGATTACGGACGTTGTCAGATTGTTTGTCACTTTTTCCTTTGTTAGGATCATGTATTCGTTTATGTTATTTGATTTATTATTCTTCCTATACCTGTGTAAATTCGGTCTTAGTTGGGATTAAAATTTCAGGTAGCTGCATTGCTACACACGTTAACAACTTGGAGGGTCTTTTAAATTTTTTCAACGGTGTCCAAAATGCAGTTTTCTGGCCCTTTCCTTTTTTTCCAGTTAATATTTATTGTTCCCTCCATTTTTTCCCTTTTTTCACAATCATACCATTTGTAAAGATGATAGAATTGAGTGCAGTTGATACACTTCGCGTAGGTCTTTTGATAAGTTCTCTCATATTTCCTAATTCCTTCCTTGAGCCACCCTGTCTATGATCTCTACTCGATTACTGTTTCAATTTAGGATTGATACTTGCATGATGATCTTTGCTGAACAGAGTTTCCTCAGATAATGAGTCTCAGTCTCTTTCCATCTGAGAGTCTTTCGCTCACCTTAACAACGCAGTGTCATTGAAAGAACTCGTTACAAGCAGGCAGCAAGCAACCGGACGCAAGATTTGTTCGTTCTTCAAGCTTAGACTCTTTTCCAAGAATCATCAAATTCTTTCTCGCTGTTTCGATCACTTTTATAGGTGGTTTGCTTATTACTAACATATTTGCGTATTTTACGTCTTTCGTAACTTGCCGCTATTGATTGTGATATACTGCTTCTTTTATAGGGGTGGAGTTGCTTGCCGTTTATGGCGCTGTATAACCGCATATCGATCTCAGCGGAATACTATTGATAGCAGTGATAAACACTATAACTTGGACGGTGGATGATTCCGCTTCATCTTTGTTGTAATGCGAACTTTTAATACAGTTTTTTCTAGTGAAGTAAGTGCAATTTTGTGCTACGGCCGAACTTACTCATTACTTACTCTATTCTTGTACATTTGGTGTGTTGTTGCATATTCTGCTGGTCAGCCCTAAAAGTTATATGTATATATATTCGAAATAGCGTTGTAACAGTAGTGTACTATATATAGATATTGAATTACAGTACGGTTCGGATGCCTATGCAGACCTGCATTTAAATATGCAATGGATCTTAACTTGCCTGATAAGTTCCGTTGTTTTGTTGTTGTTGTCACGTTTCAAAGCGTCTTTATGCTGCAGCTTGCCATTGTTTTTTTGCCGCCATCAGTGGCTGGCACAGCGTAAACAACAGATTAGCCCAAATTTGTGATGTCTGACCTTTAGAAATAGGATCTCAGACTGATATTAGGCAATTTTCACTGTTGCCTCTTCGTCGTCGACAAGTCTGCCTTAAGGAGGCGTTTCCATTTTTTATTGTTCTCCAACTCAAACTTTTATGGTTGCTCTATTAGACCGAGCCATACACCGGTCTATGGGTTCAACTGATAGTTTTCTCAGGCCGCTATTCTTCAGCACTTCCTCGTTCGGGACCTGGTGCCCGGTGGTGCCATCGCAATTTGAGGGTGCCGCGCAAATTCCGAGCTTGATGACGCTTCCAGACGACAGAAGTTCGGACAGTGTACCTAAGCACCACGAATACGGCTACTTTCAGAATGGTGATTTCGTCCATTCTTCCATGTCGTATGCAGCCTGTCAGAATTCGCTTATGCCAGTCCGATACTTCAGGATCCATGTAGTCATCGAGCACTTTCGAGGTGCTTGAAATGGTCCATTTCGTCCATCGTAATACCATTCCATAATATGTTTGGATTGTCAGTTGCGGCGGGCAGGAAAGTGATTCCTCGATGGTTGGTTTAGTCGGCGCGTTTCCCACTCTTGAAGATCAGGATTATCATTCCTTTGATCGAATCTTAAGGGATTACCTACTTTTAACGGATGCGGTCAAAAGCCAGGTGTATCTGGCTGACAAGGTTTTCACCTTTGCACTTAAAAATTTTAGTGCCAATTCTGTAATGTCCACAAGTCTTCGAGCTTCAGAAGGGTTGTATCGCCTCGAATTTCTTCGATCGATGGTGGAGGGCAGACAGCGTCTAGATCTTTCCAAGTTTACTCTTCCATTTGTAGATGTACCAAAGGGCTGGGCTTATGAGGTGCTCGGTCTATCATTTCTGACGGACTTCAGCATCTTGCACCGTCTCGTTGTTTTTCTGTATATCAGAACAGGAGTAGGCTTTCGTTTACTACCGCTTATGACGTTCACCTGCCTATGCAGCACCTTCCTATACCCTTTTGCCGCTGTTTTCCAGCTTTTGCGCCTCGAGGTCCAGGCGTCGTTGAGGAAGCTCGTATTGACTGTTTTAATCAGGAGGCGATATGCTCTTTTCTTTATTACGTAAGGGCACCTGCTTCGTAACGTTTTTTGCTGACGAAGTTCGGGTAACTCAGAGTTGCTTTATCTTCCTGTTTCTGCTACCAGTGGTGTCGCAGCCGCAGGAACAATGCCTTCGTCAAAGCGATTATGGAGCAGCTCTGAGTCTTGGCATATCATAAAGTCTATAACCGCGAATCTGCTGTCGATGTCAATTTAGAACGTGTCGCAAGTGATAAGTGTCCTTCAATTTGTCTGTGTGAAATGTTGTTCCAAATGCCCTCGTTTTCGAGGTGTTCTTCTAACTGCTGCTAAGCGAAGTAGGAGTTTCGCGAAAACCAGGAAATGAATAGTTCTAATTTCCTTATATCATAATAAGCGTAGAACTGGCCCTTTCTCAGGCCCTCTAAATGTCTTTTGGTTCTGCGGTTTGGTCCTCCTCTGCAACGTCGGCATACACGGCGATGAAGTTCATCCTACCATGTCTCGTTTTGAATTGGCAAACGCTCGTGTATTCTGTGGGGATCGAAGAGTTTGCCGCTCAGAGGACAGTACAACTGCAAATTCAGCCTCGCAGCGAGAGTAGAACTGCTATCCTTTTTAGGTGAGTCGCGGCAAGCCCCAAAATGCACAGCATAAATCGCGCGGCGGTTCGGGTGACGTCCTCTAATTTGTTATAGCTCTTCAATGTTCACACGTTCCATCAGGTCACACGTAGTTTTTCTTTGTTTCAAATGTTAAACTTCTACACGTCAGATTTCTTAGTAAAGTAGTTTGAACCGTCCTATGGATGTAAACAGCTCATCGCTAGGCGCTGCTTTAAACAGCGCGCAGCGCAACAAAATCGACACGCAACCGGTCACCGCTACG